TCATATCATTGCCATATACCATATATGGTATATTTTATTAAAGTAGAGACTAATCTCTAAAATGTTTCTTGTCACTGAATTTATATATTTGTGAGCATTTATTGATTAGAAAGAACTTGTTATAATGCAGGATTAATAAAGAGTGATTAGAGAAAATGAACCATCAATATTGAAGACCCTGTTGGCAGAAAATCACTGGACTTTTACATTTGACATGCTACTGCACATAAAGCAACTTACTGCAATTCAGCATTGAAATTTTCAAAATAAAGTGAAATCGAAAGATGAAAATATATTGATATTACGCTATTGTGTTGTTGTTGTTTTTTTCATTTCTGTAGATGATAAAATATGTGTACAAATGTAGGATATTTCTTGATACAATTTTTTAAATCGAACAGAAATGCAGTAAGTCGTACAATGTACTTCACTAAGGTGAATACTTACTTCAGTTATTCCTCGAAATTTTTCTGAAATTGTACCAAGAAAGGTTTAAACAGGAAATGAATTATTGTAATTTTTAATTGCATGTTAAAGTGCATATTACAGAACTTTTAGATAATTAATGCATATTTTTAAAAGCATATTTCAAGATTTTTTTAGGGCATAGAAAACCTCCCCATTCAAATTTATCGTGAAAAATCAGTGTGAAGAAGAGAGGACATCAAAGATCAGGTTACTTACATAACAATTTCCCTCAAAGATACAGCTTCTTGCTCTTAATAAAAGAAAGCTAATTTACTGGCACTTCTGTGATGAAATCCACCAGAATATCACACATTCTATGATACCTTGTATACCGTATGGAAAGCACTAAAACGAAGCTGAAGTAAATGCCTAGAAGGATGAAAAATCAGAAATATGCCAGTAAAGTATACTTAAAGTATCAAAATTGTGTGCCACATACATTAATAAACTGTTTATTAGATTATGTGAAAGGAGATATCTTATTTTTTCCTCACCTCTGAACCTTCAATTATTATTTTCCTTGACTAAATACAATAAATTATGTTCATATCTTTTGTAAAAAACTTACAACACTTAAATGGAGATTTTTACCAAGTTCTGAATGTTTTTCTCAATTAATCTGTTTAATACATTTTTTTTGAAATTGCAAATGGCTTCTTTTCAAAAGTAACTATTTGTGGGTTAGCTCTTCTTTTCTTGGAATCCTTCTATTCAAATTTCAAATCAGCGAGGCATCAAACACTTTTAAATAATGTTCAGAATTCTGTTTTGAGTTATTAAAATAAAGGAGTTATTTTCAATTTTTTTAAGGGCTCTTTTTAATTGCTAAATCATATACTTTCACTTCATCACTTTGTTTTACATTAGAGTAACTGTAGAGGAACATATAAGGACAACACAAACATCCATACCTGAGGCTGGATTTGAACCCATGACCATTTGAGCCAAGACAACTATGGTCGTACAGCCACATCAATCTTGGCTATTCAACCCAGCAAAGAGGCTTAGTTTTCGGTTTGTCATAAAAAACATTTCAATGCTTGTTTCAATCTCCAATCCAAAAAATTCCAAGTGGATTCCCTATCATTTAATTAAAGTGCTTTTGTTTTAAATTATAACTTTCTTTGAACAAAATTTTACCAAAATGCATTATGAAGATTTTCTCACTTTCTACACAAATTTTTGGGTTTATCTTTGAAGTGTTGGATAGAAATAGTTTGATGTACAAGATAACCGTGGTCTTAGTGGAATAGTGAATTAATCAGGCAGTTGGTAATTGCCTTCCAGAACAGCAATAAATATACAGTTCATACTGCATATTGGTAAGAATAACCTGAGATATCTACATTCAAGCAAAGATCATCCACTGCAAATAACAAAACAACAGTTTAATCTTGGAGTCCTGATCACACAAGATCTTAATTGGGGACATTAGATTGTAGCAGAGGCAGTGCTAACACTATTGTACCTAGTCAAGTCTTCTGATCTCATACTCAAAAAGTTGAGCAAGATTTGATCTATCTTGGAGTTATCTGGGCAACATACTACATAAAAGTAGGGTTACCATACATCCTGAAAGAGCAGGAAATACTCTGATTATCAACATGTGTTCTGCTGTCCTGCCAGATTTCTCTTCGTTTCTGCCAAATGTCCAGAATTTTTTACTCTGATATAATTCCTCACTGTCCTACAAAAGAAACAAACAAAAAAACTGTTTTGGGACTACTGGTAAACTACGTCACAAGACTATACACTACATACAAGAAACAAGCAGCTAATTCCTTTTAAGCAAATATTGATATTTGTACCTTTTTATGGTGCAATCCAAGAGCTGAAAAATAGACAACTGTGTTTTTCATTGAAGTGCATCTTAACTCTAACACTGTTTTGGTACAAGAGAATCTGGAATGCAAAAGGAAAAAAGGCTCAGGCAAAACCATGTTTTAATATTAACCAAAGTCATGCTTTATTCAAATACCCTAAAATACGTACTTCACAAATTTTGACACAGAAAAAAGGAAATGACCTAAACTACCAAGAAAAGTCAGGGAAATTCATTCTAGAAAAAGTTGTTACCCGGTTATTCTTAAAAGTGTGCAATGTAATTTATCTTGATCTTCTATTTAGTTGTGTACTTGATATACTATTTCCTTGTAATACGATTCACTTGATATACTACTATTTAGTTGTATAAAAATAAACAATTTGCTTTGAAATATATTTCAAAGGTTGTGAATTCCATTGTTATCAGAGCAGTCCTACGTAAAAGAAGCAGAATTTCAAAAAAAGGTACAAAAGGGGTTCAGGTTCAAAAAAACAAGTTAAGTAAAAATACCAAGGGACAATAGAAACCATGACTGAGGGAAGATGTTTAAAACTATCACTGCCTGTCTGAGAGCAGAGAGGGCAACAAAGTTACATTATAAAATTATGCAAAGGTATTACAAGACATTGTGTCTAGAAGAGCTATTCCACTTAAAATGCTTAAAGAATATTCTCACTCAAATCTTTATTGCACTATGGGGGTATTACCTTATTTCTTTAAATAACTGATATTTTGTCATATTGCTCTTGAAGATGTGCATAATTAGAACTAACAACTTTTTCCACATTTTCTATTGCCCGTAATTTCTTTTTCTGTGGACAGTATTTCAAGTGGGATAATACACTTTTATAAATCATTATAATAATTATCTTTTGTATGCTAAGTAATTATTTCATAGTTTCATCATATACTTAACTTATATTGAGTCTGAACTTCTTGGTGTACCAGCTTATTTTGCTCTCATTTCTCAACTACGCATAGGTCTGGCATAATTCCTGTTTATCTGTCATTTAATATAGTACATTCCATGGGGTGACAATATTGTCATTTTTATTTATTTGGTAATGATAATTACTCACAAGATGAATGAATGTGCTGGTGCCTACTCATAACTATTTTATTTGTATCCTATAATGGGGCTAAGTCCAATTAATGTATATATGTAAATATCATATTAAAAAAGTACTTTGAACTGTGTTTTCGTAAGTTGTTAAAGATCAAAATAACTCATAATAAAGCATCAATAATTGTTTCTGATTCAGAATTATTCTTATTTTATAAGATACAAAAATCAAGAACCTTATTTTAGAAATCAGTTTCAATATATCAGGCTAATTGTATTAAACTTTTTTCTCTCCAAATAATGAATTTAATAATTTATATATAACTGCATATTTGACTGTCAATGTTCCAGGAGAAGTACTACATGTTCACCAATTCTCAAAAAACAGAGTAGTCAGTTTCATATGGAACTAGTGGTGCTCAAACAGCACGTATTTTCTCACCTTTAGTATTGGTTACATAATACACCACAATTTCTCAGACATAATTTTTTGTAAAACACATTTAAAATCATAGAACATGTGGTACAAAGTAAATAGTTTCAAGCAATAGATCATTTATTCAAAACTTTAATGAAAACATTTTTCTGGCAGTATAGCATCTCTAGTTTGGTATCTGTGGAAAAATAGATTGAACTGCAAAGTGACGAAAGCATAAACCAACTGTCTGGTTGCGTATGTCCGCCGGGGCTGCCCGAACGCCGCCTGGCATGACCGTGCCGCCGTGCCGACAGAGGGCCCACAACAATCGGATGGGACGACGCAAAAGGGGAAGGGGGGGCGAGGTGTTTTCCTAAATTTCACTTTACGACGCTATTTGTACGATTTGCATGATTGTCACGGCGTTGAATTCAGGAAGCATGTCGCTATCGCGCTATAAGCCCATATTTTTTCTTGAAAGTTTGAGAACTAATTTTAAATTCGAATTGTTGCTAGATTTTTGGAAAAAGGGCTTCGTAGCGTAAATTCTATTTTAAAAAGGCGTCAAATGCCGTTTACAGATCGAAAATCGGACTATTGTTTCAGACGTTATCAGTAAAGTAAATTTTACTTATTTTGGTGCTGCTACCTGATGGCTACAAATTGTACTAGTGTCGGGACATTTAGCCTTAAGAGCAGGAATATGTTTTCAGCAAATGCAGTTGTCTATAACTACACCAACTAACTAATACTAACATTCGATGTGTAATCATAGTCTTGAGGTGACAGAATCAACTGCTCACATAAAAAAATGCACATAAATGTACGTTATTTTAAAACACCTTGCCAGATGATATTAAACAATTAAGTTCAATGTAAAAGTTAGTCTCAAGAAAATTTTTTTCTGCTGCACAACTGTTTCTATACAATTAGGGACTACAGCATCCAAAAAGAAAGTAATTCTAAAGAAGCTTTAACAAGTATTGTACTTCAGCTTCTGGGTCAATGACTCCCATCTCGATCAGGTTTTCATTCAGTTTCCCTAATTCTTGAGCAAATGCTGAGATGGCCCCTTTGTTTGGTTCTGGACATAAGTGTAACTTCAAATTAACTTCTCTCCATAGCATGTCACACACAGATTATAACTGTTTTTGATGTAAATAAATAAATAAATGTGTTTTGTACTAACATTAGTTTATGATAGGAAAATAAAATATTTCAATTCATTTTTATTAAATTAAATCCACTTTATTTCTCACAAACATTTAATTTGATATAATCTCATGTGTAACCATATAAGGCTGCCACAGAAACTCTCATACTGATTTGAGAACAAGACTTTTGTTAAGAGTTCAAGCATATACAGATAATTCTTGAACTTAATTTAAATATCATAAAACTAGACAATCAAATACTACATAAACTTATTTACAGTACAATTTATCAGTCCTATTTTTTAGGAAAAATCTTATATCTAATTTTAAAAAGTACAACTGAACCCAGCACCCTTCCATGTCTGCACTGCTAGACATTTTTTGGTTCAGATTACATTACAAGCAATACTCAATTTCCTCATTTACTTTTGCTTTCTTACAGATCACAAAAGTTCACAGCTTAAATGCAATCTATTTTTTCCAGTTGCAATTCTGAGACTAAGTAATACTTTATAACCAAGCACAACCTAGCTCTCTCTTAAGAAGTTCAATCTAGAAACTTTAAATACATTGTTGCTGATAAGGCACTTATGACCCACAGAAGCTTAAGAGGCTACTATGATCCAGAACACTCATTTACCTTGAAGTTTTTAAATCAAAACCGATGAGATACCAATGAAACATTCTTTTATTTGTACAATTCAGTTTTCTTGCAAATGAAGATTTCTGTAAGTTGGCTAAAACAAAATAGCTTATAATATAAAAAAATAATCACAAAATATAAACAAATTTCAATTTGATACATTAGTAAAGAAGATATTAAATGGCACATTTCTGGAAATCCCTTCCAGGACCAGCAAAATATGCTGTAGAATCTAACTTGTTATTTATGGCACCAACAATCAACTGTATGATTAGACATTGCACTGACTCCCAGCAGGGGGACAGAATTAGAACAGAAAATAAATGAGCAATCTAAAATTAATATTAATTAAGAAATGCAAGGATGCCCAAAGTATGCAATCGGAGCAGAAATAGCAAGAAAATATAAAAACATATCAATTGGAGAGAAGTAATGAATAGCTGAAAATAATATCATGAGGAGGGTTAAAAATAGAATGGAATATCATTAGTGGCATCCACAACTTTTGACTACCATATTTTTGTAACGTTTCAAGGTGACATTAGAATCTTCTAGGTAGTACAAAATCTGAATAGGACCAAGCTTTGTAGGAGCACAGCAAGGCTTTGGAACTTGCAAAGGATTCATAAGATGTACCAGTGTCTGCACTATTGCATGATTGGTAGCATTCATATGGGCATTGAGAGGAAAATTGCATTCTCCACTGCAATAAAAGGCCTGAAAACCAGCTGGAGCAATGATCCAATCCTAGAAAAATAAAATCGAAAACAACTGATTAGTTCAGCAAAACAAAAAACAATTCTGATGAAAACTATAAGGAAGCTTGTAGACTGAAGTTTAAATGACTCTGAATTGAAGATATATTTTCTGCTTATAAAAATAATTTTTAATTTTATTCATGAAACTGATTTACAAGAATTTTGAAATAACTTTCATGATACAACCAACCAAACAGGTTGCAATGCTCTATTGCATTAGGACACTACTAAATATGATATTACATATTACAAATTGCCTATAATTTAAAATTGTTTGTGCCCATAGTAGTTACATATTGAAATGAAGAAAATATTGTAAATATAAATATTTTATTTCCCTAACCGCGTTCAGAGCCACATCAAAAACTGCATTATATTCCAACAATTCGAGAGACTGCAAATTTAAAGAAGCAATTTCGAAGAGAAATAAACACCAACCTGCCAATGAAGGTCCTTGAAATTCACATAAAGCTCCAACATTTGGCAGGAACGGGAAGCCCATTGTGAAGCTACAAATAAAAATACACTCCTTTAATATCAAAACATGTAACAAAACAACTTACAAAAATGGAAACAATTACTACTCATAAACTGAATTAGCTCTGTAAAAATGTGAAAACACTATAAGAATAGTCAAATTCTTTGAATGGATGAGAGAAAGGAAAGCAGGGAAGAAGAAGCAAAAAAGAAGAAAAATAAAAAATATGAAGAAAAAAAGAAAAAAAAAAAGACGAAGAAAAGAAAAAAAAGAAAAGAACAGGAAAAACAACAACAAACAAGATTAAACCCAACAATTTGTAAAAAATAAAAGGTAAAGGCAGAAAAACTTACAATAAAAAAATATTATGTATTTACATTTTTTTTTTTTTTTTTTTTAGTATTTAAAGTGTTTTAAATTAGTATGGATTTAGCACATCAAGTCCTAATATTTTGTGTATGGATTTAAATATAAAATTGTAATAATTGTAATTGTAATAATTAAAAGTATTTTGCCCAATCCTGTCCCTATCCAGTATCACAGGGGTTTATGCTGATGGAGCCTATTAAATTGTATTACAAAGGAAAATCTTTTCTTAGCAGAGAAGATAAAAATTTAGTTACTTATCAATATAGTCAACACTAAGACCCAAACATTCAACTGTATTCACAAACCGATACTGATATTAAATATAAAAATAATAATATAAATAGTAATGTAATCCTGTTATCAGGATTTTCAAAAATTTTGGAAAGGCTTTTCAATGATAGACTCAAACAGTTTCTCAATGCAAATAATGTCCTTACAAATGCACATCATGGCTTCAGGAGTAATAGATCCACAGACACAGCCATCTTCTCCTTTTTAAATGACATACTTGTTGCACTAAATCAGAAGGAAATTTCCATTGGCCTTTTCTTAGATTTCTCAAAAGCCTTTGATATCATTGACCATCATATACTTTTAAGAAAACTAGAAATGCTAGGGATTCGAGGCATTGCAGGCCAACGGATCAAATCAAATTTATCAAACCGTAGCCAAATAGTTGCCTTCCAGCACACAAAAGAAAACTAAATCTCCTCATACTACTCCTGTTCTCAAATAATAAATTGTGGAGTCCCACAAGGATCCATCCTTGGGCCAATACTTTTCCTTATATACATAAATGACCTGCCTTTGGCTTTAAGGAACAACAAAATAATTTTGTTTGCAGATGACACAAACATCATCATCAAAGCAAAAACACAACAATCATTAGAAAAAGAAACTCACAAAACTTTGCAAGCACTAGTAAAATGGTTTCAAGACAACAAACTCATCATAAACACCAGCAAGACAGTCTCTCTAAATTTCATGAATCCTCAATTTAAAGAAAAACTCTCACAGCATTTGCTCATAAACAATAACCCTGTAATGAAATCTCATGAAACTACCTTCCTCGGACTAGCAATACGAGAAAACCTAAAATGGAACATTCACATCTCAAATCTTAACAAGAAGCTCAGCAAATCTTGCTATGCCCTATACACTCTCAGGTCAAGCTCCAACATAGAGACACTTTGAACAATGTATTTTGCAAATGTGCACTCACACCTAAAATATGGAATAATATTCTGGGGAAATGCCCCTGAAAGCACTCGCACATTTATTAACCAAAAAAGAATATTGCGAACAATGACCAGCACTCATAAGCTGGAGTCTTGCAAACCCTTGTTTAATAAACTAAGGCATGTATATACCTCTACCATGCATGTATATATTTGAAATAGTGGTCTTCACAAAGAAAATTCTCATGGAAAACAAAGACACTTTTACTTTAAATTCTGATGTACACAACTACAACACCCATCAAAAGGATAACCTACATGTTCCCCACTCTGAAACTACACTTTATGAAAAAAGTACCCTAATAGAGGGGATTACACTTTACAACAAACTAGGCAATGATATTAAAGACATAAACACAATTCATACCTTTAAAAGTAAATTGAAAGCTTTCCTGCTTAACATGTTCTACAGTGTAAAGGAATTTTCAAATTACAACATTTCCCTTAAAAATATAAATAAATAAGAATTTCTCATCCCATTAGACTTTCTGTTTCATGTAAACTTTTTCGAGCTGAAGCAAAGAAAAAAGAACTGGCATATCGCATCCTGTGAAATAGAAGGAGAATGCCTGACCAAAATAAAAAAATAAATTAAAAAAAGAAAAAAATTAAAAATTAGAAAGTCAAAACTTACCTCCTCACTATTTCAAGTTTTAAATATAGAATGTACTACTATTGTACTACTATTGTGCTACTATTATAAGTAGTAGCATTAAAATAACATCTTGAAATGTTAATTATTAGCAGATAATTTACGTACTGTATAATATCTTAATCTAACTGTAACAAGTATTGTAATACTAGTCCAATGACCCCATCTCGATCAGGTTTTGTTCAGTTTACCTGGTCCTCTGAGCAAATGCTGAGATGGCCCCTTGTTTGCTCCTGAACAGTAATGTAACTTTGCTCTCTCCACCCAAGGCATATTGACTCGTCATACACGATTGTAATTGTATATGTGACCCAATAAATATTATTATTATTATTATTATTATTATTATTATTATTATTATTATTATTATTATTATTATTATTATTATAATGTGTAACAAATATACTAAGTAATCATAAAATATAGGTTAATAATAATAATAATAATAATAATAATAATAATAATAATATAAATAGTATAAATGGTAATAAAGGTTGCGTTAAATTTAGTGCAACCGTATTACCATTACTGATAATGTACTTCCGTACAAACAACGAACTCAAATATGCATGGATTTTCACTTTTAGTTGACTCTTATAAACAAGTCCTGACCTTGCTGAGGCGGTGGCAAACCCGTAGACTTGCGACGTTTGCGCGAAGTGGTATCTCTTGTGGATCGTCGTTTCATGTCCTCTGTATCTTCACCCTCTTCATCTGTTTCTCCGCCCTCTTCGTCTTCAAGCCATTCATCCAAAACCTGTTCATCTTCCCCTTCGGGCAGAAATGGGTTGCGGCGTCTTGATCGCCTCAAATCAGGAAGAGGTGCCGGAGGGGCACGGGAAGCCCCAGGCGGACTCTTGAAAAAGCCCACCATAAAGGGTTGACGTTCTTCATCATCACCATCTCCCTCAGCCACAAGCCCAATATCGGACGGATGCACTTCATGACCTGAAAATAGTCAAGAGACATTATAATCTCGATTTTTCTGTATGCAAAACCATTGTTTCACATATCTTGTTAGCAATTTATTAAAACACTAAGTTTTGTCTACAAATACTCATTAAGAATAAAAAAAGAAAAAAAAATACTTTTACTTCTCCAAAAACTAATATTGTTTATGGTAGAAAAAGGGTTTCCAACTTTTCAAGGCTCGAGGGCCACGTTGAAAATCGTACGCATGATTACGGGCCGTACATTAATATGATGTAATATTTTGCAATATTCTGCAAATAGAAAATAGAGACTATTAAGGAATAATTCGCATAGTTAAATTGAAATATGGTTTTAATCATTTTAATTGTAATAACATACTAACAATTGCATAAAAGTGTAGAAAGACTGAAATTAAAAATAAAAACTATTATGTTCAGAATAATTAAATAAAAAAGAAAAGAAAGCACTCAACAAGCGCCAAAACGAATGAGGGTAAATTTAGAATCCTCTCCCCATTTTATTGAAACTGAATTTTTTAAATTTCACAATGAGATACACTAGTTTTTACTCCATACTAAAAAGATCGAGCTAAAATAGATATTGACCAAAGCAAAGTTCAAAAGTGTTACCATCATGACAAATGTTATTTTTGACTAAATACTCTCCAAATCAAAAAATAATTTGAGCATAATTTTGAAGTACTATTAATACTAATGTCAATCCCAAATTAAACATTTCACTACCAAAGCAATCTTGCCAAAACTCATAGTTACCAAGTTACGGCGCTAATTTGTCGGTCAAGTCGGAAAAGTGGCAAAAACGAACTTTAAAAGAAGTGAATATTTTAATTAAAATGCACTAATTTCTACGTAAATAAAACAGAAAAATAATAAGAGTTAATTATGCTCTAATTTTATCGCTAAAAACATTTAGCCTCAAAAGGAACATGAAAAAAACAACAACAAATTTTCAACATAAGGGGTGCTGATATAAGTACGAAAGATGTAACATTAATTTATTTTAACATTCGACATTTACAGTTAACTCTCGTTAAAAGTACTCGTTTAACACGATTTCGCCGTAACACTAACAATATTTGTACTGCTATAAGGATACATTTTAATACATATGTATAAAAATCTGATAACACCGTTTTTTAAAACACAAACACCGACTAATTCGGTCCTTTGTAATTCGTGTTGACAATAGACATATTGTATACAGATGAATCAATCCATGCGGTAAAAAACACCACCACCAACTAAATAAACAAACATTATGTCACTTTGCGGAGAAACGCGTCGTTACTGCATAGTAGTTTCTTGATGATTTCTCTTCTTTCTTAATATTCACAAGGTTCTGCTTAAAATGAGTCAAAGCGCTCAGGATATTTCTAACCATCTACTTTTTCTGATACAAATGACGAAAAACGAACATTTTTGAATCGAATTTGAGTGCATGTTACTACAGAAATTAGCACGGTTAACGATGGCGCTTGACATTTGGGCGGCTCCACACTTTCGGCATTCGCCGAGCAGAGAGCCACTGTTCGCCGAATCCGGAACTACTGATGTGCTCGGCGAATGTTCGCTGTCTTTAAGGTGTTCAAAAGACCAACACGCGGTGGGTAGGGCAAGCACTGAATGTTCGTCTTTCGGCAAATAGCAAGCAATTCAACTAGCCTACTTGGGATTCGGTGAGCGGTTGCTTGCTACTCGCAGAATGACTAATGCATAGAGCCGCCTTTAGGCCTTTGCCTACAGTCGGTCGCTAAAATTGCAGTGAAGTAACAGTTTTTCAAATAATTATATACCGAGTCTACATCAGCGGTTAGAATCTTGGAAATACGCACTTCCAGTGACATACAGAATATGAGGAAATTTAAAAATTATTAAAAAAAAAACCTATGGGAATCTACGCTTCCGAGACCAAAATGGTAAAAGAATTATTCATTGCTAATATTTATAAGCCACACGCTGGTGTGATTTTTACCGCATGAAAAGACTCCTTCTGTAAAGACAGTACAATTAACATGTTCTAGGAGTGAGGATATGGTTCAATACATCACACTACTCCTACTTGAATTACAAATTATCTCCACATATAGTCGGTCAGATAATAAAAATAAGACAGACGCAGTTATCAAACTAAAACACATTCGAAAATCTGTCGAGGCGAAAGTAAAATCAATATTAGAAGAAGAAAAACGCAACAAATATTTACAGACAGGAAGAAGCCAACAAGAATGAAAACCAGCACTACATTTTCGTCATTTTGAATAAGACGTTTGAGAGCCACTCCTTCGTGACTGTCTGCGCACTTGGCACCTGCAGGCGTTCCAACATGCTGGAAGCGCCGCAAGGCGAGGCGAGACGAGGCGCGCCGCGCCTTACAGTTCCAGCAAGGTCCGACGCTGGTATTCCGAAGAGAAAACGCCACGAGCACTGGTCCTGCGTGGAGATCGAAAGGAGTGGGGCATAGAGAGACCGTAGGGGGGGGGGGCAAGGGGGGAGGAGAAGAGTTGTGTTTGCGCAGAGACTGCTAACAAGAGAGGGGAAGATGACTTCACCGCTGGCTCTCTTCAAGTTCTCGACGGCCTCCGAATGCATTTGAGAGAAGAGAAAATGAACTCTGAAATATATTGTGGGCATTGCGATTATTACATTTGTTTCCGTCATTACTAATATTTTCTCAAATATGCATACTTCGTTTTAGAAATATGTTCCAAATGTCCAGTCACTTTTTTCACAGATATTACGTGCTCTTTTTAAAATTAGATAGAGTCAAAAGCTATCATTTCCTCGTTCAGAAGAGCTGCTGAGATGCATGCAATGTGTACAAAAAATACCATACTGATTATCAAAAAGAAAAATAATTTTTATTTTAAGAAAACAGTGATATATAATGAGTTAGTTCACATTTGTATTGTATATTTTTTTTAAAAGACTTAATATGATTTAACAAATAATGTACTTCAGCTTCCGGGTCAATGACCCCCATCTCAATCAGGTTTTTGTTCAGTTTCCTTGATCCATTGAGTAAATGCTGAAATGGCCCCTTGTTTTGCTACTGGACGCAAATGTAGCTTCACTATGCGCACGTTTTGTTGAACTCTTCTTTTGCTTGTAATGGTAAGAGTAGAGGTAAGGGTGAGTTGAAATTTTGTTAGCAATGCAGAAAAACCATACTTGCAATTCGTGTACCGATGCAAATAAGTTTTCTATAACTCAGAAACGAAAATGACTATTTTTCAAATATTGCTAATCTTACGATTTTTAAAATTTATTAATTGATTTTATTTATTTATTAATGTATGTTAAACTTTTACTTACCTTTCAACTATTTACAGTTAAAATGCCGGGAAGGAATTCTGGAACTCGAGAAAACGTACGCAGATATTCTTTCCCCCCCTACGTCACATACAGTTTTTACTGTTTTTTTGTCCGAATAAATCTAAATCTAAATCATCACAACGGTTGCTACTACAGCGTTTCTGTCGGGAAGGTCGTAGGGTTAGAGTTTCGACAGTGGCTGATTTTAGTCCAGTTAGATAGCTTTGTCGAATTCAACACCCGCACGCCACCTGGAGGAACATTCTAGAGGCTGGCTTCTATGATCGATAGTTTTTAGTGGTTTCTCTTATTACGCGTCACGGACCGCCACATGTGGGGTGGCCAGTCGGGAGTTAGGACTTGTCTCGGTTGGGGCGGTGCCGAGCTGGAGAACTCAGGAAAAGCGAACCGCATAAGCTGACGTGAAGATTGACACTGCACTTAAGGGACTAGTGACAGTAGTTGACGGGCCTGGAATAACACAATAAATAAATCTGGTTCATTAGAAAATGAAAAAATTATACCAATAACGTCAGTGTTTATTCCAGGTATATAAATATATATTAATTCACACGCTTTGATGCAGTACGGTATTATTGAGAACGTTTGGCGAATCATATCCACGGACATTAATGATTGATTAACACGCAATAATTTATCACAATGGCTTATTATTCACCTAAGTCTAAGAAACGAGACCACGAGTAACAACTCCGTCGTATTATCAGACAAAGTTCTTTTATTTTTTTCTCCTCTCCAGAATGAATGGTTGCATAGAAGTATGTAAAAAAAAGTGTTCCCACTCCATAGTTATTAAATGTGTAAAGGAAATAACAGCTCACCCACGTGGCAGTTACGCAAGTGGCATTAACTACTTTTATTTTATCTCCAGCTGCAGTGAAGATTGGTGATTTTATCAGACCTCCAAGAAAGGTCGACCTCCCTTATAGGAACACTGCACTAAGTGTTGATGATGTGGATTGTACACCATGCGGACTCCTATTAGACCGTCTGCCTGACTGTCTGGATTTCACTGCAAAGATAAGAAGTAGTTTTTGCGCGCATACGTGTTGACCTTCAAACAGGCGTTCTGAGGCATCACCACCACTGTTATCCTTTTCGTAGTAGCGACTACTTTGAGAATACAGAGGGGAAAAGTAGATTTCAGTGGCAACAAGGCAACATCCAGGAAACTGGCTTGTGTAAGATACATAGTATCTGGGAATAGTTACTTTTGAAGCTCGGAAATGGGAGGGCCGAAACCAGAGACGCAGTGGTTCACGAGGGTCGGATCACCGTTTTGGAAATCCAATGAATACATCACACCGCTTAATCGAGATTATAAAGTTTTATGAAGTGCAGATCACCTTTTTGGAAACAGTGAAACTTGTACTAAGTGGTCACCAATGGTTCCTACCAAAATTGACCCTTAATAGAGCTGACCGCTTTATTGAGATTATAAGGTTTTAGGAAATGCAGGAAGGTCTAATTATCTAATTGTCATGTAATAAACATTTTCCCTTAATTCTTTTTACCATTAACAAAAAATACAAGTTAAAGAAGGAAGATAAGACCACTTGCTTCCTTTCAGCTAGCGTCAAATACACGCTTGATTTATTACTCATTCTAGTACGCGAGAAATTCACTTTTCATTTCATATAACCGAGCTCACAAGTAAAGAAG